TCTATAGTATTACATCTAAAGTCCTTTTTTTTCGTTATAATAAACAAAAGTTAGTCGTTGTAATTATTTGGAAAACTGTTGGTTTGTGAAATATTTGCCATTCCAGTAGTGTGTGTCACAAGGATCCAGTAGCAACTCACTAGAAGGAAGTTTGCTGCATTATTAGCCCAGGAACCATCCCTGTTCTGAAACAGTGTAATCTAAGTGGATGGAGATCTATTTTGTGGGGGTGGGGGGAAGTAAGAGGGAATCTGCTTATGCTGCTTGTACTGCTGGTTCATGAATCTAAACTTGCCAACATTCTATAAGTTACCTTTTCTCCCCTTTTCCCAATTTGGACTGTCTTGTACCGTGCACCTTCCATGGCTCAGGGATTAAATGAACACCTAGAAAGTCATTTAGGTGGAACCCATTTCTTGATTTTCTGTGAAAGCCTCCCAGATCGAGCAATGCCAGTGAATGTTGTACAGGAATCAGGTCCTTTGGGGTTTTGGGACTTTCAGCACTTTGGGACGTCCTCCCGACGTGAAAGGATCTCTACAAATGTAATTTTGTTGTTGTATTTTGTTGTTGTGGTTGTCTGTTCATCCGGAAAATCAGGACTTAGTCTACTCAGTCTACCAGTACACTCCCAGGTGATCACTAATATGATTCTGAAGCTGACCATTCACTTCTGCACTGCCTTGTGACCCTATTGGGTCTTGTAGCTCAGTAGTTAGAGCACTCGCCTTGCAAGCGAGACACCTGGGTTCAATTCCAGGCAGGGCGAAACCTTGGATAAGTTTCCTTATTCCACACGCCTAATAATAATCCCCCCCAAAACAAAAACAATAATAAATTGGTCACTTCAATCCATGACTGTTTGTGAGATACAACTGTGTGCAATTGACTGCCGCGTTTCGCCCACAAATGTACAGTCAATTCACTTTACAATCTATTCTGTGAAGCGCTTTGAGATGTTGAAAAGACGTGAAAAGCGCTATATCAAATGCAAGGATTATTATATTATTATTTTGCAGTCGCTACTAGAATTGTAGGAATTACTTGAGGTACAGGCTGGCAGCAGATTTGTGAGCAATTTAGCTCCAAAATCTCCAAATTTAACTCCTAAATCTTCAAATTTAGCTTCCAAATGTACAAATTAAATACTAAATCTGCAAGTTTAATCACTAGTCTCCAAAGTAAATCTTAAATCTACAAAAATAACTTCCAAATTTACAAACATATTCATTACATTTTCTAAGTTAACTACCAACCTTTAAACCAACCACAAAACTCATACTTTAATTACCCATCATATTGTGAAATTTATCAAGCAAGATATATCATGTATGATTCAATTAATTAAATCCAAATGATTATTTTGAAGTTTCAGTGGATTCAAGCATTTAATCATTTATGATGAGACTAATTTTAGTACAAGCATTAATAGATTTAGAGATGTATAATACAATGTGGATGCTATTTATAATATAAAAAATATTATACCACAAGAAGCATATTGAAGCATATTACAGTATTGCAATGGAGTTACACCAGTACGAGACAATCACATGTGCTTGTAGGATAGGGAAACTGCTAACTATACTTTACACCAATGTCACCCTTTGGAATCACTTTGTAGCTCCCTCTCATCTCTCAGTGTGTCTTAAACTGAGGCATAAGAGATGGCATAAACAGATCAAAACTCATTTGTATTTTATTTCACAATGAAATTGAATTTTAGAGTCATCTAAGCTGAGAAACAATCTATTTAAATAAATTACAACAAACATTAGTTTGAAAAATGGTTTTAAAGCACGCTGGCTCCCAACAATTGAAAAATTAGCCCCCAAATTAATATAAGTAATAATAATCTTTGATATAGTGCCTTATCGCGTCTTCGAGACATTTCAAAACGCTTCACAGAATATACTGTAAAGTGAACTGACTGTATATTTTGTAGGTAAAATGCGGCAGCCAATTGCACACAGCAGTGTCCCACAAACAGTCGTGCATTGAGTGACCAAATTATTTTTATTTATTTTGAAGCAATTATTACTCCTATAAAAGCGATTCGCCAATCGACTAACAACCGGATTCCTACTTACTGCTCGGTAAACAGAGGCGTGTGGAGGAAGGAAACTTGCCCAACATTTCGCCCTGCCGGAAATTGAACCCAGGTCTCTCACTTGCGAGGCGAGTGCTCCAACCACTGATCTACAGGACTCCAAGGAATGTTACCCTTTAAAGTTTAACATAGTTAACAAATCTAGAACAAGTTGACATGGAATCAAGCTTAGAAGAGAGGTCACACAGCTCAGACTCAATTATTTTGCACAGATAGCAATGAATATGTGAAATAGACCAAGGCAACGATGATAAAGGTGACCCGTCATCAAAGCCTTGGGAGGCTAGACCTCTCTCACTGATTCTATTCATTCTGTCGTGATGGAATCCCATTCCCTCTGTCAGGATAGTCAATGGTACTGGGCATCTAACTGTGCAGATGTGCACATTTGCTAGTCACTAGGGATGTAATATACTTGCACTGTGGAGCTAAATTATGTTCTTTGTGATCTCATGTCTTCAGTGATCTCACGCCCACTTTGCAAATGTATTTTTTTTGTTAGGTAGCATAAAGGTACGTATTGATATTTTGAACAAAAAATGGATAATGATTTTTTTTGGTCAGCCAGGTGTCTAATATGTGAGGAAATCCACTTCCATGCTTAAGAGCATCCAAACCAAGCTGAGATTTCCATCCATCCCACCTACACTGGAAACTCAGAGATAGATTGTTGGAATGCTATGCCCACTCTCTCCCTGGAGGGGCACATCCTGCTTACCTAATTCTGGGAAGTATTAGACCATGAGATGGAATAGACACAGAGATGAAGAAAATCATAGAAAGAGAGTCATACAGTCAGAGAGATTCAAAGAGAGAAATAGAACCAAAAGTAGTGGCTAGATTTACCGCAGTTCTTCACCATGTATCCTTTATATGTATTTTACTGTGTGAAGAACGTACAGGCATTTGGGCTTTAAAAATCTTCATGCATGAAGAATCTGCTTGCATGCTGCGTTGCAATAGAGTGAGCCTCGGCTCTACAGCATCTGTTTACGACCAGACCCAAGTTATTTCCAATAGTATTACTGGTGCGTTCGTGCTTGCGCTGATCGGTGGCTCACACACAAAAATCTCTCTGTGTCACCTTGTTATAATAATAATAATAATAATAATAATCCTTGCTAAAACCACAATGAAAAGCGAAGCAAATAGACACATCCAAACAGCCGCAAACCTGAGAAAGCAGACTGAATTAAGTGTGCTGACTCCGATGCAGGTTTAAAGGACTCTGAGAATTCTTTGCAATTTGAAAGTGCACTGACTCAAAAAATCCAGGTGTGCAGGTTTGCAAAGTTAAATAATTGGGGTCATCCAAAATCCACACGAGGTTTCCTGGTTGTGAGTTTCTAAGTGTTTCATACCAGCCTGTCTGTCCCCTCTCCCCTCACCCAGCCTGGCTGGTGTGTGTGTGTGTGTGTGTGTGTGTCTGTCTGCTGTAACAGAAGCCAGAAGTAATAATGCAATGACATTGCAACCACTTTAATGTTTTAAAGTGCTGCTCTGACTGACGCCCAAAGTGTCCCGCGGACCTCGCTTCCCATTACAAGTCCCGTGAATGCGGTGTTTCATGATGAAAACTTTTTTTTTTGCAGAGTGTGCAAACTGTATTTAGATCAAACGACCTTCTATGTGTTGAATGTCGTCCCAGTGTTATAAAAGAGGGGAACATTGATCTGTGTGCGGTGTGAACACGGTGTGTGCTCTGATAGTGATACACAACACACTGAAATGCTTACAGCACTCAGCTGGAGTTACCCAGTGCTGAGACCATCCACCTCGTAAATGCTGTATCTGTGCAAACTACTGAACTGCTCGTCCCCCCCACCCCCCCCCCCCCCACCCCCCCCCCCCCCACCCCACCCCACCCCCACCCCATTTTAAACGGGTTTAGATGGACTAATGCATTCGGGAATCTGAGCCACAAGACAACATACTGCAACCGCAATGTTCAGATCTGCCCAGAGAGCTGGTGGTTCTGCGGATGGATCAAATCTCAGCTCATCACAGGATGGTTGGTTTGCTCTGAGCTGCAGCTTCGGTGTTTCTAACGCTTTTTAGTGGCACAACAACGGATGAACAGTTCGCTCCTTAAAGAACCCGTAACCCTCAAAATAGCCCCGAGCCCAGGGGGCAAACAGCTGGGAACTTGGGCTTCCTGACAGAGGGGTTGGCACTCTGCTGACGTGAAGTCAAGGATGTTTCACACCCCCCACCCCCCCCCCACCCCCCCACCCCCACCCACACACCCCCACCCCCACCCACACAGCCCCCCCCCAACCCCCCCACCCCCACCCCCCCACACCCCCCCCCCCCCCCCCCCCCCCCCCACCCCCCCACCCCCACCCCACACAACCCCATCCCACACCCCCATCCACACCCCCATCCACACCCCCATCAACACCCCCCACCCACACCCACCCCCACCCACACACACCCACACACCCCCCCCACCCCACCCACACAACCCCATCCACACCACCCCACCCCCATCCACACCCCACCCCCATCCACACCCCACCCCACCACACCCACACAACCCCCACCACACACCCCCACATCCCACACCCCACACCCACCCATTACTCCACTCCGGGTGGTTAAGATTTACAGTCGCTTCTTACAACTTATTTGACGATATTAGGAGTGGAGTGGAGTGGAGTGGAGAGGGGGGGAGTGGGGGAGGATGGGGAGGATGGGAGAGGACCCTTGTGGTTCAATACATATTATTATTTTTATATGTATATATCTATATATATCCAAAAAAGAGAGAGAGAGAGAGAGAGGGGGGAGAGGGAAGAAGAAAACAACAACAACAACAACAACAAGAAAAAAAGGAGGTTAAACCAATAAAAAAAGAAGAAGAAGAAGAAGAAGAAGCAGCAGCACTCACGGAAGAAGATGTACTCGGTGTAGCTGCTGCACAGCCTGTCCTCTCGGTGTTGTCCGGTGCCGGTGCCGGTGCCGGTGCAGTTGGAGGCCAGCAGGAGGAAGCCGGCCCGGGACAGCCGGTCAAACGCCTGCTCCAGGTGGGTGAACCTCAGGTAGAACCTGGACGTGTACTTGTCGGGGGGGCGGTCGGGGTCGCGGCTCTCGTTCAGGCTCTCCCCGAAGACCTCCTTGGTCAGGGCGACCCTCCCGCACACCGTGATCCTGGCCACCCGCCTGAACCTGGCGTCCGCCTGGGGGTCCCTGGCCGAGCTGGAGGAGCCTCGGTAGCCGACGGTGACGAAGCCCGACCTCCTCTCCCCGGCCCGGGCTGCCGGCGGGTCGCTGCTCTGGGAGGTCTCCTCCGGGTCGCTGGGCCACCAGGCGTCCTCGGGCGCCGCCGAGCTCTGCTTGGCCACCCCGGGCTTCAGCCACGCCGTCAGGTCCCCCAACTGGAAGTGCTCGGCCTCCCTCAGCAGCCGCTCCTTCTCCGGGAAGTGGTCGGGCAGCACCAGCCGCTTGTCCCGGAGGTAATCCAGGATGTACCTGAAGAGGAACCCGTCCCGGTCTATGAAAAAGCGACCCCGGTTGTCCCTGGGCAGCTCCTCGGCGTGGCGCCCGGAGAAGAGGGTGGCCAGGAGGGACCCCGAGATGCTGATCAGGGTGTCGTGTTTGGTCACATACACCTGTCCTCCCACGTTCAGCTCCATCACCTCCGGGAAGGAGGTGCACATCTCACTGATGGGCAGGACCTTATCTCGCACAGCCATGTCCCTCCCAAGCGTGGAGGGGCGCGAGGATCTCTGAGGTCCTCTCTCTCTCTCACTCTCTCTCTCTCCTTCTCTCCTTTCTCTCCTCTCTCTCTCTCTCTCTCTCTCCTCTCTCCTTTCTACCTCTTTCTCTCCTCCTCTCTCTCCTTTCTCCCTCTTTCTCTCCTCTCTCTCTCTCTCTTCTCCTCTCTCTCTTTCTCTCCTTTCTCCCTCTTTCTCTCCTCTCCTCTCTCTCTCTCCTCTCTCCTTCTCTCCTTTCTCCCTCTTTCTCTCCTCTCTCTCTCTCCTCTCCTCTCCCCTCTTTCTCTCCTCTCTTCTCCTGTCTCTCCTTCTCTCCTTTCTCCCTCTTTCTCTCCTCTCCTCTCCCCTCTCTCTCTCCTTCTCTCCTTTCTCCCTCTTTCTCTCCTCTCCTTTCTCCCTCTTTCTCTCCTCTCCTCTCCTCTACTTTCTCTCTCTCTCTCCTCTGCAGATCTCAGCTCCCAGGAAAGAGTCTCCACATCACTCGCTCAAGTCACTCACTCACTTGGGGGGGGGAAAAAAACACCTTCCCCCCTCCCCACACACACACACACAGACATACATACGTGTCAGCAGCTCCGATTGCACTGCGTGTTGTTGAGAGGGCGAAGAGGAAAAGGTGAGAAAGTGTGTGTGTGTGAGAGAGGGAGGGAAGGAGGGAGGGAAGAAAGGAGAGCAGTGGAGCATCTCTCAGGATCATTACACAAGAGCCAGAGAGAGAGAGAGAGAGAGAGCCTGGGGAGCCTTCCTGACGTCCAACCCACTGCAGGGAGTGTACTATCCAAGTTTGGTCATAACCCATCACAAAACTACTCAAGATTTAGCATTTACCATGTCAGTAATACACACACACACATCATTGGGTCACTCAATCCACCACTGTTTGTGGGACACTACTGTGCGCAATTGGTTGCAGCGTTTCGCCCACAAAATATACAGTCAATTCACTTTACAGTATATTATATAATAATAATATAATATATAATCCTTTACATTTGATATAGCGCTTTTCATATCTTCGAGACGTCTCAAAGCGCTGCACAGAACATACCGACTGCATATCTGTGGGCGAAACGCGGCAGCTAATTGCACGCAGCAGTGTCCCACGTGCCATCATGGACTGAAGTGACCAATTTATTATTGATTTTTTTTCTTGAGGGATTATTACCAGGTGTGTGGTTTAAGGAAACTTGCCTATGCTTTTGCCCTGCTGGGAATCAAACCCAGGACTTCACTTGTGAGGCGACTGCTCTAACCACTGAGCTACAGGACTCATTCTGTGAAGCACTTTGAGACGTCTCTATGACATGATAAGGTACTACATCAATTGCAAGGATTATTATTATTATGTCAATTTCACATTCACAACACCTCTTCACCTCACTGTGGCAATGGGACCCATAGATCTAAAATCTAAATGTGCATTTGCTGGAACTATCAGTTTGTGGATATATTTTATTGAAGAATTATTTAAATACTTCTCTCCCTCCCCCCACCCTGGGTTAATTACTTTCTAAAATCTATTTGGAGAACCACGGGACCAAATTCAATGAGAAACAAAATTTATTGCTATTTGGCTGCATCATTTCCACCGTAAATAATGTTAACGCACATTAGAATCAAAGTCTTACTATGCAGAACAATATATAGGCAGCAGCAATACACAGAAGACATATTGTATCAAAATATTCTGTTTTGGAAGTTCTAGATGTTAAATTATTAATTGTTTTGTAAAATGTAGTGTGATTTACTAAGATATGAGTATTCTGAGATTTTGTAAACGTTCCAGCATTTTAAATATTAATTGTACAAAGAATGATATTAACTGTCAATCATAGTGCTGTTCTGTTGCATTAACGCATACTATTACATTAGTCATGTGTTAAAGGCAGGTTCTAAAAATCACATCTAGGTATGTGACTGAAAACCTGTTTATGCATTTTATTAAAGTGAAATTAAAAAAGATGTTCCAGTTTTGAGATTTTATGTAAATCTACAATAAACAATAATAATAATCTTTGCATTTGATACAGCACCTGAACACGTCATTGAGACGTCTCAAAGCGCTTCACAGAATATACTGTAAAGTTAGTGACTGTGTATTTTGTGAGCGAAAACGCGACAACCAATGTCCTGCAAACAGTCATGGTGAGTGACCAAATTATTAATTTGGAGGGATTATTACTATTATTATTAATAATTTTGAGGGATGAAAGCGATCTGCCAATCAACTAACAACTGGGTTCATACTCAGTTCATATTTACTACTAGGTTAACAGAGGCATGTGGAGTAAGGAAACCTGCCTATATCATCTAGTTTTAAAACAATCACTAAACGTACAGTGCTTTAACCTAACCACTAAAATGCATTGTAGTGTATCAGAAATCACTCTTTGTTTCTTTTAAGTTTTAACGTGTGATCTGCCATGCTACTGTCTTTGAAGCAGTCTCAAAAACAGAAGTAGGTTGCAAGTATAAAGCATCAGAACACATAAAGGGGCTGGGCTTGCGAATCATTGTGCGACAACATGAAATTGTAGTATGTGAGTGTCTGTGATTACTGATATGGTAAATGCCCAATCTTGAGTGCCACCGGAGGGAAGCATAGAGCAGGGTGTTTTCCCACAAAGCGTGTGTGTGTGGAGGGGGGTTGGTGGGGGTGGGGTGGTGTTGAGACCATAACGGCATAGAATGGAGGAAGGCCATTTGACTCATGAAAACCTGCTCCTTGAAGAGCAGGTAAAACCTACCTATTCATGAACTTTCCTTGAGTTATCCTGGGCTTCTTCTGTGCATTTCTCAATGGCCACTCGGAGAACAATGATGGTAGATATTTGCAAGAAAATCTACCAGAACGTTTCCAGAAAGACTTAAAATGAAAAGAAAGAAATTAGAAGAAAAAAATACATACAAATGGAGGACGTCTAAAAGTTTTTCAAAGATATCATTTAGTTACTCTTTCATTTGTAAATATGAGGAGCCATGAATTGAATATCACTATTAACTGAGTTTATCGACTTTCACACTCATGCAAATGAAAACTCATTCACCCTAGTGTCATAGAATATTACAGCACAGATCACAACCATTAAGTCTGCACTAGTGTTTTCCTCCCCATGAGCCATCCAATGTTGTCTCACTCTCCTGTTCACTTGAACACTGTATTCAGATTCTGAATCTTAACCCTCAAATGAGAAGAAGGTCTTTTACTGGATCAATATAAAGAATGCACTATAACGTTCTAGCCTCTGTTATATTTCCTATATGCAGGGTTTTATAACATTTCCTACCCATGAGGAGAAGTGATGAATTACAACCCTATTGAGATCTGTTACTTCCTTGAGAATTCTTCATATCTCTGATTGGGTGTAATCTTGACTTTCATTCTGCTAACATCAGCAATTAAATTAGTTAATGGCTGCTTCTGCTGAAGAAGCAGAGATTAGTATCTGAATCATTCCTGGATAGAATCCAAAGGGGACATTAATATCTTGAAGCAATGATGGCTGAGTGTGTCTCTGTATAAAAATTGCTATGTAAGTCAGCAAAATCTGGATAAAAAGTTCTATTTCCAATTTTAAACATTCTTACAATCTCTCACAGTTTGACTGACAATTTGCATTGATGCACAGGTTGTATTATGGCATCATTCTCTGTCTTTAGGAACTTGGTTCGAAGTGGCCAAAACCATTTATATAGAAACTTTATAGCCAAAAATAAAGACTAGAAATAATACAATTTTTAGACTGATCTCTAAGCCTTTGTTAAAAAAACGAGTTCCAATCTAACACCTTGTTAGTCTCTGTGGAGTCTCTGGGATACAAGTCCACGTGAAGGGCGCTATATAAATGCAAGTTGTGGTTGTTGAGTCCTATAGAGTATTGGTTAGAGCACTCGCCTCACAAACGAGAGGACCTGGGTTTGATTCCTTGGGGAGGGCAAAACGTTAGGCAAGTTTCCTTACTCCACACACCTGTTTACCTAGCAGTAAGTAGGAACCTGGTTGTTAGTCAATTGGCGGATTGCTTTTCCGGGGGTAATAACCCCTCCCCCCAAAAGTAATGCAAATAATAATAATTTGTTTTCAATCCACTACTGTCTGTGGGACACTCCTGTGCGCACCTGGCTGCGGCATTTCATCCAAAATATATACAGTCAATTTACTTTACAGTATATTCTGTGAAGCAGTTTTTGAAGACGTTTCAAAAACTTTATAAGGTGCTATATCAAATGCAAGGATTATTATCATTACATATATATTTACAGAGTTTGCAGTTTTTATTTTTCAAATAGACAATTTAATTCACAAGCACACCAAATAAATTTCTGCACCATTATTAATTTGAAATAATCACTGCATGTAATAATTTCCCATGTTATTTTAAAAATGAAAAGAGAACCAATGATCTTTTGGAAGAATCTACTGCACTTTTCTATCAGCTGATAAAGATATCTCTACCATTAAATCTCTACCAAACTCCTAATTCCAATTCCCACCTTTTTTCCACATGCCTTTATTATCCTTACTTATCAAGGATAATCTCCCCCCCCCACCCATATTAAATAAAATTGGTCACTCAATCCACGACTGTTTGTGAGACACTGCTGTGTGCAATTGGCTGCCACGCTTCACCCACAAAACTCGCTTTACAGTATACCTTGTGAAGTGTTTGATTTGTCTTGAAGATGTGATAAGGCGCTATATTAAATTCAAGAATTATTATTATTATGCCAACGGAAAAATAAATTTCTCATAGAAGAATACATAGAACATGTGCCAGTGAAAGTCAAACCACACATCTTTAGATACTGTCAAACAATGAAGACGGAGAAAACTTTCAATCTGAGGTGCGTTTAAACCCAGAGATGAAAGGGCTGTATGAAAATCCATGGGACACCCGGTATCACAACAACAAAAACAACTTGCACTTATATAGAACCCTTCATACAGGTTAGTGTCTTGGAGCACTTAAATCTACAAT